TCACAACTATCAGCAGGATTTCAAACAGATTTTCTGAAATATACAGAAAGCAAATGTAATTTATGTCTACACTAAAGGGTAGGTGAGATTACTAGCTATGTTAAATCATTAAGCATGGGGAATGCTTTCATAAAGCCATGCTTAAGTAAAAATGGCTTGCATTTAAATTATGCTTGGGAAAATCAGAAAACTTATACTTGTATAGAAAGAAGAGTATACCACTCTTCTTGTTTGGAACTGAAACTATGACCAAAATTGAATTTTTAGTGGCATTATTTACCTGGTTTTCAAGCAAGAAGGATTTATTATGAAGTTATGAAAAATAAATGAAGTAATAAAAGAAAAGACAATGCAAGAAGAATAATTGCAATAAAAAGCACACAGCTATTTAAATATAAATGTTGCATCCATAAACAATGTGAGGCAATATCATACATTAAGGATTTAGAACAGAGATGGGGAACATGCAACCTTAAGTTTCTTGTGTGGCCTTTAGCTTTTGTAATATTTATATAATATTTAATTATGTAGATTACAACAATTTGAAAATTAATAAAATTAAATAATGTGCTGCCATCCATTGAGCATAACATGAATTAAAATGCTTTCATGTTGCAGTTCTAGCAGTCTTTCATACTCTGAAATTATTGCCAATCTGGCACATTTGTCAGTTTTCTAAAGTACAACAATAGAAATACTCCTGTTTTGTTTTTATTTTTGGCCGTAGCTAACCCCTACTTGAAATACACTGACCCTGTTGTTATAGCAAAGCCACCCAGAAGACAGTGTGACAGTGGTTGTTCTGAGAGACAGTGTAACTACTTTTCTCCCTCTGCCCTGCACACCTCAGAATATGCCTGTATGTAATTTGTTACAGTTGGTAATTTGTAGTTATCTGTGCATGTGTCTAAATAGTCTTGTCTTGTATTTCTATCGGCAATTGTAAAAATCTAGTTATTGTTTTATTTAGTCTGAGGTTATAATAATACACAGTTTTATTGTTTTTTTAGTAAGTATATGCTTTCTTAAAGATACTATTTGATATTCATTTTTTCTCCAACATGTTAAATTGTAAAAGAAAAAATTACATAAAGAAAACAGAGTATTTAATGTAGAGTGGGAATTAAATTATTTCTTTATTTTTGTGAAAGATGAAATGGTGTGTTTATTGTGCAATACAGTTTTGGCTACTTTAAAAAAAGAAAACGCAAATGAACACTATTTGACTTATAAAGAATATAAACATTTCAATTTAGAAGGTGAATCTCGACAAGCTGCAGTTCAAAAATTGAAAAATGTAAAGCATCATTAACAGGTGTCTTTTAACACTTTTGTAAAGAAAAATAATATTGCAGTTGCTATTACTTACAGAATAGCACATACTTGGAAAAGAGGCACACCATTTAGTAACGTAGAAATAATTAAAGAATGTATTGTTGAAGCAGTAGGTATGTTAGATCCAGAAAACGTTGATAAATACACAATTAAATGTCAGTAATTTAGTCAGTGTCTGCACCAATGGCACACCTTCCATGAGAGGTAAAAAAGAAGAATCCGTTGCTTTATTAAAAAAAAAGAAAACTTGAAAATTTATATCATTTCACTGCATTTTGCATCAGCAAAATCTCAGCGCAAAAATAAGCATTTTGCAAGACATTCTGGAAAGAACTACTTTGATTGTCAACTATATTCGCGTAAATGCAATGCGTCATCGTGGATTTGGCAGATGCTAAATTTAGACAAGGAAACATAAAGTGTTGATCTATCATAGTACTGCAAAGTTTGCTGGCTATCAACAGGATAGGTTTTGATAGAAGTTTTAACTTTGCAATGACCTATTTTAAACTTTTATCAAGAACAGGGAAAACTATGCAATCTATCAGATGAAGCATTTTGAAGAAACATTGCATTTATATCTGATATTAGGACAAAACAAAACAATTTAAATATTTGCCTGCGAGGTAAAACAAAGCATACATATGAAATGTGGCAAAAGATCCAAACGTTTCAAAAAAATTAATATTTTTCAAAACATTGCTCTTTTGCTCGGATATATCTGCAGAACACTTCCCAGGAGCTAGTAAAAATGTTGAACGAGCAAAAATTGTCTTGGATTAATAGAAGAATATACTGAATGATTTTCATCTTTTGACAAGCACACTTCTGCTATGAAACTGGCATTTTAACTATATTTAGTAGATATATCCAAAGCTCCTACAGGACTACAAACGGAGTTATTTGAGTTGCGGGAAGATAGTATCCTCAAATTTCTTTCTGATACAAAAAGGGATCTTATACAAATCAGGAAAAATATTGTTAAATATCCATGCCACCTACGAGAGCATGCACGGCATTTGCTTTCCTGTTTTGGAAGTACTTACTGCTGTGAGTCAACATTTTCTCTCATGACAAAAATTAAAACTATTTAAGAATGCAAATTACAGATGCTCATTTAGATGATCTATTAAAGCTGTGTGTTACAGAGCTTGATCTAACTATTTGGTTACTTTTAGGCATGAGACAAATACAAATATCCCACTAAATTAAATTTTCCATCGGATTTTAACATTATTTTACATACTGTTGCTATGTTGATTTTTTATAACTTAATATTATTACTTTTCTATTTTTTTCTTTATAATGGAATACATTTATTGAAAGGAAATGTTCTTCTACGTTATTACTTTTATTTGAAACAGTATTTAAATACATGCAGTTGTTTATTAAGAAATTATTAAAGATTAACACTATAACAAGTTATTAGTCTTATAGCCTAATATAAATACAAAAATATTTTACATAGCAATTTTTTTTTATTATTAAAGGGCTTAATGTTTTTTGTATTATTTCTGTGCAATGAAATAAAGTGATAAAACTATACAAAAACTATAATATTTCACCAAAGTCGCATTTATAGGTATATCAACTTATGCGGCCTCCTTTATCACTGCCTAGTTATTCACTACATGTGATGATAAAAAGGTTCCCCACTTCTGATTTAGAAACTACATTTAGCACTTCTTACTGAAAAGCAAACAATGATAATTATAGGATGATAAGTATAGCAAGTCCTGCTATACAGTTCACTTCTGAACTTGAGACATGCAATTCTCTTCCATTCCTCGACATTCTGGTCACACATAACACATCCAACCTCAGGACTATGGTTTACCGTAAAACTTCATCGGTTTGTCTTCCACCACACTTCAAATCATGTCATCTGGTTACACAAAGGATAACTTTATTTTATTCCTATGTCTTCCGTGCCTTTTAAGTTTGCTCTTTCAAAGTGTCTCTTGATGAAGAATTAAATTATTTAAAAGCAGTAGCTATTGACAGGGGCTTTTCACTCAACATTATTAATCAAGCAGTTAAAAAATTCCCATCTCAACACACCGAAGGCACACTCTTGTTTTAGGAGATTATAAGAATTCTGTCTGTTTTCTTCTTTCCATCAATTAGCTATAAAATTGCACATATTTTACAGAAATTTAAATTTTGGGTCATTTATTCTATCATCAATAAAATTCTGAGTTCCATACTCAAGGACACCAAATCCGGATATGAATTCCTGAGTTATTTACAAGATTCTTTGCCAGTGCCAGTGTGGTTTAATTTACATTGGGACCAAGGACCAAGGTGTTTGGATTACGGAGTACCTTTGCAATTAATTGCAATTACCTCCACATCATCATTCATAAAATCGAAATAAATAAGAGATAAGCAATCGCTAAAGTTAAAGGAAAGAGCAGTTATGCTAAAGTCAAAAAGTCGCTGAGGGCTCTTATTGTTAGGAAACAGGAGGAGAGTACGAGAGTTTACCACAAAGCAAAGGCATTTAGCCCCCCGTTGAGAATCAACTTCAGGTAACTCAGATACAAAGAGAGAGCAACCGGGATGCGAACAGCGTGGATTTCTGCTATGGAAACAGATCAGCTGATGGAGTGAGGTGCAGTTGAAGGAGAACCGGTCCTCGGGTAAGTTAAGGTACTGTATCCAAGCGTAGAGCTAAGAGCCTTGGCAATGGTCGAGTGACGGGGAAAAGGGTCAATGACCGAAGAAGGGAGAAAGAGGCGAAAAAACTGTTGCGGGGAGTCGAAGTCTAATCTTAACTGTCGGAGCAGGTTTTGAACGATGAAAAATCGTAAATGTAACAAGAAGTTAAGTCTAGTCATGAAAATACGTAATTTTAAAAGAATTCTTATGGCAGTGTTCCATGTGACATTAGTCAGTCGGAGGCTAATACTGAGTGAAGAGATGATTAAGGAAGATTTACATAGGTCACACCAAGAGAGCCTTAAAATTTCACGTTAAGGAACATGAGGCATATGTTAGCAAAAAAGGAAACACAGAAATCCTCTGTTGCCCAGAGGTTTGAAAATCACACTTTCAATTTTTCTGCAGCCAAACTTATTAAAAAAACATCTTTCATTGGTGAATTAGATTTTCTAGAGGCATTTCACATTCAAAAAATCTTCTTCTATTTAACACCTATTCCAATCTATCTTCCTCAGCCTTTAAGGAAAGTGTGTTTCAGTTCTTGTTTCATCAACAGATGGTGCCAGTAGCTTAACTCCTGTCCAGTCTTTCTTATCTTATCTAATCACTATATCTTATCTCGCTTATTTGCGCTTTTGCAGCTGAGGACGATGGTTCAGTAAAACCATTGAAACTAGTCGTGTGAAAATTTGAAAATAGAATGCTAATTTTTATTGTTTGAGTTCTAAATTAATACTTGTTCAGCATGTTATTGTATCTCAACTATAGGCTTGTACATTTACATACATTTCTTATTATATTTTTACATGCAATTAAATTAAAAAAAATAACTGATCAAGCAAAAGTCAAACATAATACCTGGACTCTGAGTTAGCATACATTTCCTTTAGGCAATGAGGAAATACGTCAAAAGGATGAAATAATTAAGTTTTTTAATTAAATTGCACACATTTTCAGAAATTTAAAACATATTTTATAGTTTTCTCAAACATTAAACTTACACCATATTTTGGATGAAAGCTTTCACAAGATGTATTTCAACCCCAGCCTCAATAGCAATTTTTGCAACATGCCTGAAACCATCGATATATGGCAGTATCTGCAACACAAGAGTAAAAGTTTTATAATAATTACACAAATCAAGGAAATTGAGAATATTTATTGTAAAATAACAATTTTCCTTTCTTAACTTGTATAATTTTAAAATGCCTAACACAATCACTTTAAATATTTTTATTTATATTTTTAACTGATAATTTAATTAAATTGCAGAATTATAGAACATAAAATCAACATCAGTTTGCATAAGGTTAGAAGCATCACATATTATAACATTCTTTCCTTAATCAATCTTGAAAATTTTGTTTAACCTTAAAATAAAATATTTTACTATTATAGCTACTTTAACACACACACACACCCAAAAAAAAAAAAGACATTTTATCATACAAAATATTCAAATGTAAGACAGATAATGTCTTCATAATTTTTATAGAATAATCACCTACAATGCTTAGAAAGTCCTTCACGAAACCCTCCTCTCTTTAGGCAGATAACCTAGTGTGCTTTGTCCTTAAAAAATAAAAATAAATAATAAATCTAAATCTGTGATTTTTAACATTTTGGCGTCTCCTTTATTTAAACATCATGTTCTTCGCACTTAAACCATAAAATTCAACTCACAATATTGCAAAAATTTTTATGAGCTATCTGCACAATTTTCGATACACATCTGCATGCTGGAGATAGAAATGTTTTTTCGTACAGTGTGTCATAGCTCACTTTGAATCATCCATTTGTAATTAAAAATTCATTAAAGTGTTACAAATATGAAATCAATAAAAGCAAATTCCAAGTTAGAGCTTCCAGATCTTATATTCGGTGAAGAATTACATTATTCAAAATTTAATGACTCTAGGTACTGTTGTTTTATCACAATGCGAGAACATACATACATTTATTCAGATTCCTCTTATTTAAATTTCTTTAATATAATACGGGCTATAATATTTGGTGGCCATTGAAAAGTGAACCGACATTTGTAGTGAAACATGCAAAATGATAAAATAAATTAATATGGTAAAGGCCCTTATTTTCGCGGCTTAATTTCACAAGCCTGTCATAATCGCGAAAATTTAAACCTCGGAAATATTTTTTCCGTCCCAATAATAATAAAAAATCAGAAATTTTTCACTACCAAATTAATGATTATTGCACAGTTACAAGCTTTTTCTTGACAACTTTCTTCTTATAACTTTTTGAATAATAACAACAATATTTTCAAATATAAACCTAAAATTATAGAAGGCAGTATTCACTTATAATACTTTTATCTCATGTTTGGCTTATACCGTTAAAAACCCGCACAAGCCAAGAAGCGTGAATCGTTTTAGACTGATATTCGCAAGTCACAAATTGTTTTTTGTCTAAAAATGAAGTTAGAAACCCACTCAATAAACTCATTCTTGAGCAAACCCTTGAACTCGCCATTTAGACGGAAAGGGACGAACTTTCGGACAAAAAAAAAAAAAAAAGTTTCTTGAAATGCTTTATGCAAAAGATGTACTTTTGGAATTTTTTAACTTTCTCAACTTTACTTAGGTACTTTGGAAAGTTCTGTTCATATAAAATTCGTGAAATTTTCAGCTCGCGAAATCACCGATATATTCATTTTCGCAAAAATTACAGCCCGCGAAAATAAGGGCCTTTACAGTAGTCCTTCTGGGCAAATTGCTCCTTTGGACTAAAATGAATAAATAAATAAATAAATAAACCATACATAGTGATACATAGATAAATTACTGTATAATTAATAATATAGCTATATTGTGTAATTAATATACAATACAGAGCTTCTTAAATCTTTTTTGTAATAACTTTTTGAATAATTAAGTTATGACAGTCTTGAAATTATCAATTGGATTTTACCATTTTGCATTTAATTCAATCTAACAGCAGTCTACTCACATATTTTTAAAATAATAAAAAAATACAAAAGAAAAAAACGTCTAAATATTAAAAATTAATCCCAAACAACAGTTTTTAAATTAATATAGTTAATAAAACACAAAAACATAAAAGTAAAAGTAGCACTCTAAAAATGCATTATTATTTTAAATTATGAAATTACTGATAATTAAGATTAGAGAGATCTTAATACTGACAGAAAAAGAGATTACAACATAGAAAACTTTTTAAACTCTCTAAAAAAACAAAAGTATGCAGAGCAAGTACAAGTAAAATAGTTAAACAAAATATTATAAACACACTAAAATCAAATCTATTATACAAGAAAGTAAATATCAGTTTGTTAAGAATAAATATGCAGAAATAATATAATTAACATACCATTTTTTAACAGGTACTTACCAGCATTACAGTCAAATCCCACTGAAGCATCAAAAATAAACAATTAATCAACAATAATAAGTGCTGAATTTTGCTAAATATATATCTAAATGTAGCAATAATCAATAAAAGATTTTTGATTTAACATACAATTTAGAATATTACCATACATTTTTATACGCTATATATACTGTACCTATACCATTACCATATATTTTTTTAACTGAGATGAATTTTAAAATTAATACACATCATTTGCAAACAAAAATAAAGACCATTCCTTTAAACAAAATTAACAGGTAAAATCAGCATTAGCATATTAATATCAAAAGATTTAAATTCAGAACAGCTATATATATATATGTGCGTGTGTTCTATAATTCTATAAAACAAATGAATTTCACAGATGTACATAATAAGTTAAATCAAAGCATTGATGATGTATATTGATTGTTGATCAGGAAGCATTATTTCCTACCTTAATAAACAGTACTGTGGTCATTGCCAATGAAGAAAAAAGTTTTTTTAATCTTAACTATAAATCTTCTCCTCCCAAAAAAAAAAAAAAAAAAAAAAAAAAAAAAAAAAATAAAAGATTGATAAATAAAAGTACAAATAAATATTTACAAATAAAAAATAACATAAAACTGAAGCATCAAGATATTTTCTAATGTTTATAAATGTATTTAAAAGAAAGGAATAAAGTAAAGTCCAAAATGTCTAATATCCAGACCACCAGCCGATACATAAATAAAACAAAATAATGAAAAAAATTCTCTTCATGCCCCCTTTTTAAAATCCAGAAATGGAGAATATAATGTTCAAACAAAATGATGCAGGTGCGCCCTAAATGCAAAATTTCTCCTGTCAAATTGTGATTTTCGCATGTCACTTTCAAACACTAGTATTGATTGCTGTTACCTTTAATGTTGACCAGGATGATACTTTCCTTGTATGATTTTAATCAGTCCAGGTATTTGGTGATCTCGATCTTTGGTCCTTGAATGGTTGTAAAGAGGCAGGGCTACTACAAATTTTTTTTTTTTTTTTTTTTTTGCCTGGTACAATCTCTGCGGGTCCTAAATTCAGAATTTATGATACACAGAGATTCTAAAAAATTTTCTGCTCCTAAATTTTGCTGCCCAGTACTTCTCTGAAATTCTAAAAATTTTCCCATCCCTGATTTTTGTTCAGTGCTTCTATAAGTTCTAAAAATTTTCCAACTCCTTCTGGCTCCAGCACTGTTGGGGAGTTAGCATTCTTCTATGTGATTTAAACAATAGGTAAAGCCATAATGTTGTAGTGGCTCTGCATCTATTTAGATTTAAAATCAGTAAATTTCCAAAATCTGGAATAGCCAAAACCTCAATTCTGGATCATTATACAGTAAAATTCCAGAAATCTGCAAAGCTTGGGATCAGACATTCTGTGGATTTTAGGATTTTCCAAATTTCAGGACAGAAAAGATAAATCATAATATTCAGACTAAAAGTGCAAAATAAATAAGGCGTATTAAATACATTTAATTAAAATTATTATATACATTATTGCAATAACTTACATATGCATTAAATTATTATACATATATAAATTAAATATATTATTCATTGTATTATATACACAGTGTGGAGGTTTGCTGATTTCGCCTCATGCAAATATTTCCAGTTTCGGATTCCTGTTAGAATCACTGTTGCTGTAAAATTTCAACAGCTTTTTTCCCATATATCATACAGCTTTTTTTCCGTATATCATACACAATCGTATCGCAATTCCATACGATTCTGCTATCAACCGAGGAGTAGCACCTGTCTCCATTTTTTGCAGAATTTGCACTTTTTGCATTACCATCAACACAACGTGTTTACGTTTTTCAACGTCGCAAGCAATAAAATCATGACCGCATTTCTAATCTGTAGTTGTATTAAAAAGTGCTGAAATTTAAAAATATTCTTAATTTATTCACAAAATATCCGGATAAAAAAAAGGCAGCACTCAATAATCTCATGAAATAACAAAGCTCAGAAAATACAACAACGTGAATCGTGAACTTGAAAGAAGAGATGAGTGAATCGTCTGCTTTCTTATCTCGATGCAGATTAGAGGGGAAAAAAACTTTTATCATGATGTCAATAATTTGGTATTTCCGTTATGATTCATTATTAGTCAGTAAGTATTTTTTCTTTGGTATTTCGTACTCGATTTTGCGGTTTCCGGAACCTATAAACTGAATGTTTATATTTTGAGAGGCAACGCGTATTTCAGGAGTTGGCGGATTTTCGGTATTTGACTGTACATAACATATTTTATGACAAAGTATGGAAAAGAAAAAGTCAGTTTCGACTTTGATTTGAAATATCTGACAGTAACATATAAGACAAAACTTTAAAGCACTTTAGATTCACAGTGATACTGTTGCAAAATGCCCAACCGCAGTAAGATAGCTTCCCCACAAAGTGAGGTTAGCCTGGCCAGATTTGGCATAAAATCATCCATTTGGCAACAAAATTGGCGATACGCCATAGACAAAGTGAGAACATTCTAGAACGCATTCTTAGTGGGTTTCCTTGGGAATGTTCTTAAAGGTAGGTTAAGGCTATATATACCCTGCCTGTGTGCAGAAAGGGAGCAGTATGTTGAATTCAGTAGTAGTGTTTTGAGTTTAAAGATTAGCTTCAAAGTGACTGAACAGAGTCGGGAGCTTTACTGCTTTGCAGTGAAGCTATTTTCACCATTGTAACCTCAAGGCTGTGTTGCTGATTGTTTCAATGTGTTTAACGTAGTTTTTCGATGATTGTAAATGTGCCTTTGGAACTCTCCTGTGTAATACTGGTGAATAAATTGTGTTTTGATTCTTCATCAAGTGTTAGCATCAATTACACTAAATCCACAAACCTGTAGAACGCAACAATACTTTTTCAACAGTAAAATAACTTTTAGAAGGTAAACCTCATCAAAGACTAAAATGAAATTTCATTAAAAAAATGAAAACTGAACTATATTTTTATTAATCTTCAATATTAAGAAAAGCTAATAAAAATATACATGCAGCTCTATGGATACTCTATAGAAAACTTCAAGGAGCTTTTAAGGAATGGATTCCCAAAGACAAGTAGAAACAATTTTAAACTATTTTGGAATATATATAAATTAATAAATTATAGTATTCAGGCAAAATCACAGTATAGTAAACCAAAACGCCTGATGATTGACTTGAAGAAAATTTATTAGCATAAATTTAGGTATTTTGCATAATGAAACTCGAAAGGCATACGAAACGAACGCGCGCCAAGATATATATTGACGAAGGAAAGTAAAGTTCGTGTGCAATGCAGTATATTTGATTTTTCACCCTAGCTACTTGTACCTGGCCAAAGGTCTAATCCAGTTCTCTTTTTTCAGTGCAGTGTCAAAGTATATTCCTGTTGTTTATTTTTCTTATTGCCTAATATAGGTAAGCCTGATGATTTAGGACTGAAGATGATTCTATGTAAGTTATCTCCTTTTCAATACTTCAGTGTTTTATGCGTGAAGATTATTACTTATTGTTATGCAAAATTATCCTATTTTATTAAATAAAGATTTCGAAGTTAAAATTTTGACTTATGATTCTTTAATTCTGTGCTTGAGGAAACGTACTCATTACGCCTTCAGTGGTAATGCACAACCAATAAAATTTAAATGTAATTAAATCCTTTAAAAAGAAATATACACACAACAGAGCATAGTTTTTTTTTTTTTTTTAAAGAGAAGGATTGGATAGTTTTCATCAGTTTGTCTCACTTTTACCATAACAATGGCTCAGATGAACTTGAACTGCCACAAGTCCTGGTTGAGACC